TGGTCCAGGCCTTGGTCCAGGCCTTGGTCCAGGCCTTGGTCCAGAGACCACAACCAGGCTTAGGACCATGTCACGACCATAGTTCAGACGTGAGGTCGAGAGCTAGCTGTATTCTCGGGTCAAGATCCAGGTACAACCGTACGGGCTTCAGCCACTTGTCCTTTTGTGTTACGGCCCAACTAAATGCAGCTCCGCGCATAACAGCGAACTTGAATGCAACACGATTGGAATGTGTGCACGAAGTAGAACTGAAAAGATTCCTGTACAACTGAAAAGATTTTTGGATCAGTCGTTGATCTATTCCATCCAATTTGATTCTCTGCAGCCAAATGCGGCCTCTATTTTTCGAAAAAAAGTTTGACAATGTTCAGAGTCGTTGAGGACGTATACGTATACATATATACATACATATATGATATATCCGATATATATATACAACTTCGCTAGCCCCCTGCCACGTATATCTTTGATCAGGTTGAGCGGCAGTGGCCGGTGGCATCGCTAAGCGACCATGCTGTGCCTCCCTGGTGTAAGCGGTGTGACCCTGTTTGGAATCTATTTCCTGGCCGTGGCAGTCCTTTCTTTGTAACTTTGTTGCATGGTGGGTTTGAAGGCATATGATGGGGAGTGAACCTCCACAGTGCCTAGGCTGATGAGTCTTCCGCCTGGTGTGTGGGTGGGCGACTCCGCGGCAGTCCGCTTTGACTTCCCTCGAGGGCAGTGTGTTTGGTCCCCACCTCAGGGCCTCACGGTGCTATCCGTTGTGGGGGGAAGCGCCCAAACACAACTGGCGTTAAGGTGGGCTATTGATTGCAGTACCACAATAATCTGGTAAGGCCACTCTGTATACTGTGTAAAAGGGGGGTTGATCCTCCTGAAGAGTCGGTGATACTCCGCCCCGTTTGTTGCCCTTTTCTCCCGTTCTGCCTACCGTACGGCTCATTGGGCAGTTCTGAGTTCTCTGTGACTATATATACATACTTGTATATCACTATGAAGGACGTTCATCAATGGATCAATGGCCCAGTTGCAACTTGCCAGCGTTGACTTTTTGTCAGTCAACATGTAGCCGGCATTGGCCCGGCAACGTGGGCCCCTAAGGGCCCTAACTTCCCCTAAGCATGAGTTGAGTCCTAAGGCTTGTTTTTGCACCCCATGAGGACATTGAGGAGGAATCTGTTCACATTCCTTCCAGATACGGAACAGGCTCGTCGTGAGTGGTGAGTGACATCAATGATTCTGGGGAGCTCCAGCCTCCTGGAACTCACGAGAGAAGCTTGAGATCACTCGCATATGTGTAAGTATGATCAAGCATACAGCATATAGTACTGACTGTACTGGCAATTAGTTACTCCACAATGTCCACATGCATTGGGTGACCTCTGTCTGACTGACTCTGACACAGGTTTATGACAGGACATGGTGATATGGTGATATCATCAGGAATTTATACCGCCTGTTTCTCTATGGCCCTGTCTATCTGCCAATTTGGCAATTTTACTTTTCTTTTTTTTCTTTTTTTTTCTGCCACTCTTCCAATTGTGCATTATCACCTCCTCATCCATGCATGATCATATGCTCGCTACATCTCCGGCTATCTTCAGATCTTGTCCATGTACTGGCAGTACTGCACATCTCTCTCTCTCTCTCTCTCTCTCTCTCTCTCTCTCTCTCTCTCTCTCTCTCTCTCTCTCTCTCTCTCTCTCTCTCTCTGTGTGGGTGTGCAGTGCACAATTTGTCGCCTTTTCTGACCATCCGCCTTCGTGTGCGACTGGCTGTCTGTAAGTATGTACTATGTGCTATGTAAGTATGTACAATAGTATTATCTATAGACTATAGGGAATAGGGTAAGAGTGGAGCTAAGGTTGTAATATATATGAGTAAGGTTTCGAGCAAACGGTTTAATGTGTTGCTTGCTTGTTTGTTTGCATACAAGGGATATGGTATCCCCTGATCTCTCTTCACTAGCATGCCACAGAGCAGACTCTATTGTCTCCGGTCTGCTGAGAATTTGTGGCAGCGCATGAGACGAAAGCTGCCAGATATAGCCTGCCATTTAAGGATAGACTGACCCACTCGTAGTTAAGTACAGTTTCAGACCATCATGTGACGTGTCATTGGTTCACTATGTCCATAATGGCTCGGAGGCCAGAATGAATTTCCTGCTGCGGATGATCACGCTGACACACAAACATAAACAAGTTACAAGTATAGGAAATCACTTGCACGTACGACCTCGTTGATCATCCAGTACATAGCAACCACCTTGGGGACAGTCCTGACCGCCATGCAGTGCGTAAAAACCTGCCCATCTGTAAAGTACCATCCCATCGTGCTCACAGACTCTTGCCAACTCTCTCTCTCTCTCTCTCTCTCTCTCTCTCTCTCTCTCTCTCTCTCTCTCTCTCTCTCTCTCTCTC